ATTTTCTTTTATTCTTTTCTACTTGTTCTTCATTATTTATTGATATTTCTATTATTAAAATGTATTAAAATATTTCACTATGTTTGTTTTATATTCCTTTATTTATTTTATTCTTTTATTCTTTTAAATTTTGTTTGTTTCTAAAATTCATTTTTTCTTCTGATTTATTCATTGTAATATTAATGTTTATTTATTCACTAATTTCTTTTCAAAACACATAAAACATCAAAAAGAATAATAGATGAATTAACAAATTAACATTTTATTTATAAAAAATATAGGAAATATCATAAAGTGATAAAGTTAAAATATAATAATAGCAATATTTTTCATCCATTGTTAATACAAATTTATAATATCTAATATATTTTAGTATACTACTATATTAATAGTAACCATATTCTAATTAACACACAATTAAAACAATAACAGAAAATAACTCATTTGAAATAAGAAAAAGAAAATAACAAGAAATAAATGAGAAATAAATCAATTAGCAATATGAGTAGAAAATATTTGAGAAAGGGTAATTCCTTGAGCATGTCTTTTTTTAGAAGGAGTATTGACAACATTTAAAAAACCTTTATAAGTATATCCAACAAAAGCAAGGTCTTTTGGATTATTAATGTTAACAGGTTTTTCTTCAACATCATCTTCATTTAATTCAAAGTCATCAAAATTACTTGTATCAAAAGGACTTTTTAATTTAGGAAGATAAGGAGGTGTTTGTTCAAAAATAGTATCCCAATTAAAACCTTTAAAAAAAGGATGTTGTTGAATAAGTTTAATATCAGCAAGACGTTTTTCTTTTAAGCAAACTAATTTTTTAATAAGATCTTTTGCATCATCATGAATTTCAACATCATCAGGAAATTGTAAAGTTTCATTACAATTAATAATTTTTAAACAAGTCTGAACAGAATCATCACTAACAAAAGGTGGATACCCAGCAAGCATTTCAAATAAAATACAACCAACACTCCAATAATCACATTCTTTATAATAACCTTTTTGTAAAAATACTTCAGGTGCTGTATAATCAGGAGTACCCACTACAGAATAAGCTAAATTTCTTTTTTTATTTTTATAATTATGAGCCAATTCTTTAGATAATTTTTGACTTTTTAAATCACTTAAATTTAATTTTGAAGCTTTATCAACAATTTCAAAATATGAACTTTCGTGATCTTTATGAAATCCGGTACACAAACCGAAATCTGTTAATTTAATATGTCCGTTATTATCAAATAATATGTTGTCAGGTTTAATATCTCGATGAATATAATTTAATTGATGAATTGAATCTATCGCAAGTAATAATTCTGCAATATAAAATCTTGCCATTTCATGACTAAATATATTCTCTCGAATTAACAATGTCATCATATCTCCTCCTGCTAAATATTCCATCATTAAATATAAATAATCATTATCTTGAAATGAATAATATAATTTTACTACCCAATCATTCGTAAAATGGGTTTGTGCTAATATATCTCTTTCTGCTTTAACATGTCCTGTTTGTCCTCTTTCAATCATATCTTTCTTTCTCATCATTTTCATAGCAAATAATGAATTACTATTCTTTTTTACAACTAATCTTACTTCTCCAAATCCTCCTCTTCCTATTACTTTAATAGTTTCAAAATCACTTTTCTTTAATTTAGCTCTTTTACATCTATTATATTCATTTTCTTTTTCTGCCAATTCAGCTCGTAATGAATTTTTCTCTTTATCACTTAATGTAGATTTACTAAGATAATTTTCTAATGTTTTAGACCGTTCTTCTCTTTCTTTTCTTTCTTGTTCTCTTAATCCAGCTTGTGCTTCAATTGTCATTTTTGTTCTAATTGATGCAGTAACTGATTTACTACTTAATTCTGTCTCAACTTGTGCTGACATTTGTCTCTCCATTTCTTAAAAAATCTTCTCTTTCATTTTCTTTTCCTTTTTTTAAGTTCTCTTTTCTTTTTCTTCTTTTTTTTCTATCTTTTTTTTCCTATTTTTTCGGGAGATTATGCTTTTATTTTCAACTCAAAAAACCAAGTTGTAATAAATTGTTATATATAACGATAAATAATTTTATTTTTTAAGAAGCAATCAAACGAAGAAAGTAAAAGTTTTACAGTTTGTAATTTGCAATTTGTTTAGTGAAAAAAAACAGAGAAAGTAAAAATAAAAAAAAAAAAAGAAAACAAGGAAGAAGGAAAAAAACAATAAAATTTAGAGTCAGATGGTTGGCGAAAAAGAAAACTAAAAAGAAATTAAAAAAAAGTTAAAATAAATAAAAAGAGATTAACTTCTTATTTTGAATCAAAAAAAAACATAAAAGTCTAATGGCAATGAATTGTCCTTATCAAGTGAGTTACTATCCAACTGTACCATTTGACTATTGTGATATTGGAGAAATTCGAGAAGATTCATCAGATGATGATGCAAGTATATATATTACTAACAGTACTTTTTCTTTTCAATCAACATCTTATGAATCAAGGATGGATGAACAAATTCAAAATAATGAACGTTCGTCAAAGAAATTTAAAGACTTTACAGCTTGGGTTAAAAAATTAGCTCGTAATACTTCAACACACAAAATGTATATTTGTGGTTCAAATGCATCTATTATAACAAAAAAATGGTTAGAAGAAATAGGTAAATCAGCGTCTATTGTTCAACTTAGTGATGTCAGAACTCCTGAATTTCTTAATGCTATAGCATTAGGTGATATTGTAATTGTTGAAGTTCCAAATATCAATTCATTGACCGACAACCTTGACACCTTCAAAAATTTTAAACAAAACAATATTATTGTTTGTTGCACTGATATTAAAAACTGTCCTAAAAATAAAGGAGCTTCTTTCAGTGCTGTATTTAAACGAATTTCTCTCAAGTGATTTTTATCTTATTCTTTTTTATGTCTTTTCTTTCTTTTTTATTTTTAAATTTACTTTATCTTAAAAGATTTTCGTTTTTTCAATGACTTTCTTAAGACTAAAAGAAATAAAAACACTAATGTTCTTTTCAAAACACTAATAAGTAAAAAAAAAATTGAAATACTTATAAACATGTCCTATCTATCACTCATTATTTTATTCTGCTTTTAAATTATAAAAAATAATTTTATTTCTTTCTTTAAAATTCTTTGAAATTGGGTTGACTTTTCATTTATCAGAAAAATTATCTCTTCTATCAAAAAAATGAAAAAAAATCAACAACAATTTCAAATTGTTCAATAAATTTAATTTTAAGGCCAAACACTGTACTAAATAGAGTTAGTTTTCTACTTAATATTTTGTTATGAAAAGAAAAAAAAAGAAGATATAAGATATGATAAGAAGAAAGATAACAAACAATCAAAATTGCTGCAACAGCCAAATTGATTATAACCAATACAACAAATGTAATGATTAATGCAATAATTTTGGTATTTTCATGTAATAAATGGAACATATTCTTAAGAATTGTAATGGACATAACGAAAAATCCAATAATAATTAATGGAATTTGAACATACCAAAATGGAATAGCACATAATGGAATTACGATAAGATAAATAGTATAAGAATATCCAAATAAACAAAGGTAAGAAACTAATGAATTCTTAATTTTAAAGGCAAATCTACAAACACCC